AAGACACTAACACACTCAACTTCATGACTTCTTCAGAATCAAAAGTGAAACATGAACCAGAGGACACCAGTGGAAATTATAGGGAAGAGCCCTTAAAACTGAGAACGGGGTGCACTTTACACAAAGGGTAGTGGGAGTGTGGAACAAGCTGCCCAGACATGCTGTTGAAGCCGATACCCTGGTTTCTTTCAAGAAACAGCTGAATGAGGTCCTCCTTATGACAGGAGGCATTTCTTTGGATTAATTAACCAAATGAGCTAGACTAACTGATTGGCCAATCGTTCGTAACCTTTGTGATGTACTTAAGATTCAGTGAGACTGTGAGTGAGAAAGTACAGTAATAGAGATACAGAAATAAATACAGAGAGGAGTATAGGGACTCACAGTACGGTTGTTGAACCCAGGCAAGGTTGGGCCAGGACGCTGTGGGGGGGCAGGCGGTTGACTTGGGAGTGTCTTCATTGATGTGCCACGAGACTGGTTATCTACAGACACAACGACACCACAGCTGACACACAGAAGGTATAGTAGTCTGTACACTGTGAAGGCAGTACAGTCCCTGTGTAGAGTGTGTGTACTGTACCTGTATACAGGTAACACTGTGAAGGCAGTACAGTCCCTATGTAGAGTGTGTGTACTGTACTTGTATATTGGTAACACTGCGAAGCTTGTACTGTACCTATGTAGACAGAGTTGTTATTAATGGGCTTGGCTGGGAAGATCTTGTTAGGCTGATCATCAGGGGGCTCAGAGGGAGGGGGTTCATAGTCGTTGTCACTCTCCCCCCCCTCGGGCCCTCCCTCTGTTGGGGATTCATAATCACCCCCACTACCAACATCATCCTCTGCGTCCGGACTCTCGTAGTCATCACTGTCCTCCTAGAAGGACAGGCACACAGGCAGGGTTATAAGATAACTTTTATTGGCCATATACAATTTCTTGTATTAGGAATTTGTCTTTTCGCAGACCCCAACTTGCTCTCCATGAGACACACAGACAGGGAGAGAAGCTGGGGGTCAGAACGCAGGGTCAGCCATTTATACAGCACCCCTGGAGCAGTTGGGCCTTGCTTAGGGGCCCAACGGAGTAGGATCGCTGTTCTGGCCGGGGGTTACGAACCGGCAACCTTCCAGCCACAGGCGCAGATCCTGAGCCACAGAGCCACCACACCGTTGGAGAGAGACACTGAGAAGGAGCAGCAGACAGAGACAGGCAGAAAGGCAGAGTAAACCCAGAGACAGACAGGGCTCAGACAGACACAGGGGAGAATGACCACAATCATGACAGTCCAGTCCAGGGCTCAGACAGAGGGACAGAGAGAGACTGGCCACAGTAATAACAGTCCAGGGCTCAGACAGAGGCACAGAGAGGGACTGACTGCAAGAACAGCAGCCCAGGGTTCAGACAGAAGGACAGAAAGAGACTGACCACAGAAACCAATGGCTCAGACAGAGAAAACAGCCTTGTAGCTACAGTGACCTAACAGCCCTACTTACAAACTCCTCTGAGTCCCAGCCTTGATCATTGTCCTGAGGGAATTCTACTGAGAGAGGATAGAAAGGTGGGGACAGAGTAAGGTGACATTTATTATCAACAGAGATGCACACAGAAAACTGCACAGCCATGAGGCTAACATAGCCAGACAGACAGATGCTGCAACATAGAGACATAAATACTGTAGTTAGACAGGCAGATACCTGATACTGCGGATGGACAGATAGACAGACACACACTGTAGTGAGAGAGATAGACACATACTGTAGTTAGAGAGATAGACACATACTGTACTAAGACAGACAGATCCAGCTGATGGACTGAAATCATATCATGCTCTTCCAGAGTCATTCTCCTGATTGGCATTGTAAAATTGGACCTTGCAAGCATACAGACTTTCCAACAGGCCAGGACACATTGAGCACAGACTCCTGAGCAGAGAGGACACCAGCCCCACAGGACAGTCCTCCTGGGGGAGGGGGGCACTGGCACACACCGAACTGGCAGCATGTCCCCTACCTTGTTCTTTGATCCTGAGAGGTGCCTGCCTGTGAGAGAGAGGAAGAATGACAGTGGGGTCACTGACTTTCCAAATCAAACTGCTCCCTCGTGGGGTTTCTCGATCACTCTGTCAGCCTGGTGAACCTCTGCCTGCATCCCCAGGAACCCCAGCCAGGGCTCCAGTGAACCACAGCCAGCGTCCCAGCACACACCAGCCAGCATCCCAGCACACACCAGCCAGCGTCCCAGCACACACCAGCCAGCGTCCCAGCACACACCAGCCAGCGTCCCAGCACACACCAGCCAGCATCCCAGCACACACCAGCCACGACTCCAGTGAACCTCAGCCAGCATCCCAGCGAAACCCAACTAGCGTTCCATTGAACCTCAGCCAGTGTCCCAGCGGACCTCAGCCAGCATCCCAGCGAACACTAGCCAGCGTTCCAGTGAACTGTCTTTCCATATTTCTGCACAAGCCATATGTGATAGTCTCTATACTGTACACAGCTATATAGGAAAGATCTCTTTACTATACACATGCCACTGTATATATGACATGTTTCTATACTGTATACATCTCTATATTGTACACGAGCTATTGTATATATGACACATTTCTATAATTTACACGTCTCTATATTGTACACAGCTATGACTTATCTCTATACTGAACATAATCTATGACACGTCTCCATACTGTACATAAACTATATATGTGATACAGGTGGTAACTAATGGACAGTGACTGGTGACTGGTAACTCACTTCTTGTGGAAAAGACCCCTCTTCTCCTCCTTCTTGTTGATGTCATGACACAGTCGGCTGATCATCCTGGAAAGAAACAAAGCAGCAGCGAGCCTCTGTTAAAGACCCTGAGCACAGAACCTGCACACACTCTGCGTGCACGCCCTGTGTCCAGCCCAAAGACAGAGTAGTATGTCACAAGCTCTCTGAAGGACAAGAGATTGAGAGAACGCCCTGTGTCCAGCTCAGAGAAAGAGAAGCTTGTCCCAGGCTCTCTAAAGGACAGGAGACTGAGAGCACACCCTGTGTCCAGCCCAGAGACAGAGAAGATTGTCACAGGCTCTCTGAAGGACAGGAGACTGAGAGCACGCCCTGTGTCCAGCCCAGAGACAGAGA